CTATCACCTAAATACAGGGTTGTTTTCTTCCTAGGGAACTGTCTAGCAATTATTTCTTTATTGAAATATTGCAGTATTTATTTAGGTGTTTATTAGTTATTTACTGAGATTTTACAATATGCCAAGCTTCACTGAAACTACTTTTTTTTTTCCCTCATACATGTAGTCTGCAATTATAATGGGAATTGTATTTCTGAGTAGATAAGCTTGACTCTCCTCAAAGAATTAAGAGTTCAAACTTTGGGTTTTTTAAAAATAAACACACTATTTGCAATCTTCTAACTAGATAGAAGGCTATCTGGTTTCCCAAGAAAGCGTTTCTGATAACTTATACAAAAACTGCATATATACTGCACAAAATGTACATATTTTATAAAATATAATGTATTTTAAAATTCATTGGCAGGTAATTTTAGAAATTGGCTTATCTGTTAAATAATGTATAGTTTAAATTTAGCATTTAATAAACTAGGCACTATGGAGCTATCTATCTAATATTAATCATAATATGTGGAATTATAAGACTGGAAGTATTTATTTACTATTATTGTAGATTTATTTTAAAAATTTGAGAGTGTAGTTGTATCTCTGCTTTATGGAGTTAAGTTTTAAGTTTCATTCTAAATAGAATAAAATGAAAGCTCAATTTCTTTCACATTTCCTCCTCATTAAAAGAATCAGAATTTCTATGCTGCATGTAACTAATAATGTAAGAGAGTTTGTATTTGAAATTCAGCAGTACCATTTCTACCTCTATGCTCTTGGGTACATTTTTAAATTTCTCTATTGTCTTGTGTGTGTGTGTGTGTGTGTGTGTTAGTTGACCAGTCCTGTTCAACTCTTTGCAACTCCATGGGCTGTAGCCCACCAGGCTCATCTGTCCATGGAATTCTCCAGGCAAGAATACTGGAGTAGGTTGCCATTCCCTTCAAACCTGGATCTCCTGAATTGCAGGCAGATTCTTTACCATCTGAGCTACATGGGAAGCCCTCTATTGTCCATTATTGTATAAGCCCATATAAGCCCATTATTGTAATCATATCTGATAGGATTGTTCTAGCGATTAAATGAGTTGAACCTAAAGTATTTAACCTACTTCCTGTCACATAGTAGATATTCAACCAATGTTAACAACTTTTCATATTACTATTAATATTAGGATCCACTAAGCTGTTAGTAGGAGCTTCCCAAGTGGTGATAGTAGGAGCTTCCCAGGTTGGTGTTAGTGGTAAAGAACCTGCCTGCCAATGCAGGAAACATAAGAGATGTGGGTTTGATCCCTGTGTTGGGAATGTCCCCTGGAGAAGGGGATGGCAACTAACGCCAATATTCTTGCCTGAAGAATCCCATCGACAGAGGAACCTGGAGGACTCAAACCATAGGGTCAGGGTCACAGAGAGTTAGACACGACTGAAGCATCTTAGCACACACACAAGATGATAGTAGACATAAAATAAATGTGTGATTACCTGACCTCTGAATCTAATATATGTTTATAGATATAGATATATATAGATATATATAAATACCACTTGTAAGAATGTTGCACAGTAGTAAAATATCATGTGAAAACTGTGTTGTATATCACAGGAGAATTTGATGCCAGCATCTCTGAATTAAAACCCAAAACAACAAAACAACTCCTGTAATAAGTACATTTACATAATAACTTCCTCACAGCTGAGAATTAAATTAGTTGACCCATACAAAATATTTAAACCTGTAATTCATATATCTCTTATTTTTAATAAATGTTATTTATGGCATATGACTTAATTGAGATTCTGAACTTAATTAAGCTTGAGTTGAATTTTGACTTCACAATGCATTAGTGATAAGATATTTTGGAGTATATTCAAGCAACTGTTAGGTTCCATTTTTATTATATAAATTATAATTAATTAATTTTATATTTTAAATTATTTAAAATAACTCCCCAATGTTTAGGTTTCCAAATCATTTAAAAATTCAACCTTCTGTCACTCCCTCTAAAAATTGAACTTTTCAGCAAAATTGAGCCAAGAAGAAATAATGTACTTTAAACCATCTTAACATCAGAGAAATCACCTTCTGAAATACCAATTCCATGAATTTTTCCAGCTACATATCCAATAAATTCATCAGTTAATAGCTATAATCTATAGAAATACTAGTTCAAGTACAACTTTTCAGAATTTCTGCAGTAATTTGACAGTTATATTGGCATTACTATGAAACATTCCTCCTTGACTATTGTAGGTCTAGCATATTAGACTTTCAGAATTACCAATCATGTTTTGTTTTGTTTTGCTGAAATTTGCTTACTTGCTTCAGCATACATTCTTTCTGAATGGTTATTCCTCCAAATATAAATAGTTCAAATGGAAGAGGTCTATCTGATCAAATTCATTTAGGTGAATCTTGTTATATGAAATAAAATTTCCAGAAATGTGTCAAGGACAACACTAGCCCAGTGCCAATGTCACTGACAGTTTAATAACTCATTCTTCACCAAAATTCCCCCCCACCCCTGCCAAATATTTATGTCACTCATATCTTGTTAAAATGAACTCTTTCCTCTTTGAGTGTAACTCAGTACTCAGTATCAACTGAAAAGGGTAGATTAATGTTGGGTTAGGCCATATTTCTGCTTTGGCTTTCTTGTATGCCTAAAGCCACCTCCCTGGCTTGCCTTTGTCTTTGAAAAACAAAAAGCAAATACATTTTAATGTCATTTCTAGAATCCCTGAATTTCAGCATGAGCAGTGAGTTTGAGTCTGAGTATCCAACATATCTGATCAGTATAACAGTGTCAGTAATACAAACATAGATGTCCTTTGGATTGACTCTTAATATCTGAGTACTCACATTTAGATGGAGATAAGCAATCTGTCCATAACTGGGGAACATAAACAACCTTATATGCTTTTTATGTTGAAATTGTATTATTTGATTGAAAGTGCCAATTTATTTTGCAAATATGTAGCATAGAGCCTGCAGGAGTAACCTAGCATCTGATAGTACTAAAAGAAATTATTGTCTCTATAGTATAATGTCAAATCTTAAAGCCTGAATTTAAATGTTAATAATGAAATAATAACAATTAAAAATTTAAATTGGTGTATCCAAGGAGTTCATTCCCCAATGGTAATTCTTAGCTTCAACCAAATATTGTTTCTAATACTTAACTTTTTAACATGTGCCTCAAATTTAACTTGATGCACCTCTTCATAAAAGAGGTGAGGATGGGGAAAAGTCACTGTAATTCTTTGCATGACTTTATGAAGTATAAGCATTCAGATCAACTAGGTTCTTGGGAAAGGTTTCACTTTTAATCAACATCAGCAGAGAGTAGACCTTTTCAAGTCATCTTTTTGTTCCTTGCTCCTGTAGGGAAAATGAAAGCAGAAAGTAGTTGAATAGTGAGTTTAGAACATCTGCAAAGTTAGTCCATGTGCCCTGGAATTAGCAAAAAGGATGGGCAAGCAGAGACATCTATAGAGGGCTAGTAAACAGAATAATGACTTAGGGGCAAGGAGACCTGAAGGCATGGCCAGAAACGGGAGTGAAACACTATGGATTGAGACTCAGAGAATCAGAGACTGAGAGTACAGTCAAGTCTCTGCCACCAGTTGGTTTAGTGACTTGGATCAAGAAAGTCTGAGCATGCATTATTGAAGATTTAACTCCACATGTGCATTTCAATTTGCATAATAAAAACCAAAAATATAATGTAAATATTTACACTTAATTGATAGTACTAGTTTATTTTCTACTAATATTTGATCAGAAGAATGTTAGAAATATTTTATTTCATTCTTCAAGTGGTTCATAGTACTGTCAAGATCATTTCCACACATAATTTCTACTAAGAATTAAATAGCATTTTTTATCAGATAAATTATGTTATATAATGTTTCCTTCATTTGCAGTAGAAAAGATTTAATGGTTGGAAACCTGAGAGAAGCATATACTCCAAACCAACACTACTCATAAGGAACTGGCACATTATATAGATTTAATCTATTACAATTTCTATGTTTTATGAATTTTTATTGGGTTGACCAAAAAGTTCATTTGGGTTTTTCCAGAGTACAGAAAAATGCAATCACTTTTTAGCCAACATGATAATACATTACACAATAGTGTACCTGCCTATATATGTCATTCATGAGTTTTCTAAAAGGTTCATAAATGCTACTAATTTCTTCATTGAGGGTAGAAATGAAATCTTCAATTTCCTTATTTTGTTGATAGAAAACAGTATCTATCTATGAGGTAGCAAATTTAAGGGCTTGGTAATGTGTGTTGATTAGTAAGTTATCACTGCTCAAAATGCTAAAACTGTTGTAAAGCATGTTTACTAAATATGATCACATGTGATAGTAATCAAATGTCTTGATTCAGTGAAAATAACAATAACCAGTTTTGTAAAGAGCTGTTGTTATATATCTTAAACAACTAAAGATGTATAACAAACTATGGAATACTACATGACCTTTAAAATGATAACATAAAAGATTTATATTCATGAATAGCTATATATTACCCACTGATTAAAACATGCATCAACTGGACAGTGGTGTAATAACCATATTTGTACACATGTGTGTGCATGCATGTGTATGATAGCATATGTGTGTGTGTATTTGACACTGTTACCTGAGTATAACTGAGAAGACTTTCTAAAATAATATATGCAAAATATATTTTGTTTACAAATATATCCCTCACCCATAGTCCCACAAGAAGCAAGAGACAATCAAAATTCTCTGCTTGTTTGTCATCCCTTCATTAAAGAGTTGAAATTAGAGTAATTAATCTCAAATCACAATAATTTTATGTGAATTGAGTAATGGCAATGCTATTTTAGACAAATATTGTAGTCAAAAATATGTACACTAATTACACATACAATAAAGTTTTTCATGATATTGAATCACTATTTAGCATTTTATGATTTTAAATTAAGATGCAATATCTTTACTAATACAAAATGTTTCTGGTTGTTCTTTATTTAGGTCTCAGGGTGGTGAACTTTTTCTTTGAATTCCTAACCTGTGAGCCTATGGTAAGATTATGATTAATATACTAAATTGTATGATATATTTACCTGTTACCTCTGCTTGATTAATGACAGCAAAGGGAATTTGCTTAGGTAATTTGACACTTTACCTTAGTTTTACATAAATGTTAAAGAAGCTATGCAATATTTTCTATCAAATGTTTATGTTCTTGAGTAGATTATAGTAATATAGTCAACTGATAGTCATTTGATACATTCTTTGATAGATTCCTAAGAGAATTTGAAGCATTGCTCAGAAAGGTAAAGATTTATACCATGGAGAAAAATGGTTTGACTATGAATGACAGTATTATATATTAAAATTTTTAAAGTGAGGTTTATTTGATGCCAATGAATAGGGCAATGAGTTTTATTGAAAGTTAAACTTACTATAACACCTGTCAGGATTTATCAAAATTGGGTTCTTCTATGAAAGTTTGATGTTGGAGCTTTAGAGCATTGAAAGCAAACCATTTAACTATGGAAATAGAAATGATAAGAAATAACCAGTAACTTCTAAGGTGATTTGGGGGGTGTTATTTATTTGTTAACCTATGTACTATGAATGACAGTATTATATATTAAAATTTTTATAGTGAGGTTTATTTGATGCCAATGAATAGGGCAATGAGTAATTGAAAGTTAAACTTACTATAACACCTGTCAGGATTTATCAAAATTGGGTTCTTCTATGAAAGTTTGATGTTGGAGCTTTAGAGAGTTGAAAGCAAACCATTTAACTATGGAAATAGAAATGATAAGAAATAACCAGTAACTTCTAAGGTGATTTGGGAGGTGTTATTTATTTGTTAACCTATGTGGTTAATACATTCAATAACGTGTTAAAAGTGTGAAGGTGGATTGCATTTATAACTGATTACTACAGAATATAATTAAACATATGTTTGTGTTGTAAAACTGATTGGGTTATTTTAGTAAGAGAATTTTCAGGACCCATCTGTTCCTTAATAGTAAACATGATAAATATTTAGCTTGTAATTGAGATATAAATTACAGATAATATGGGCATTTGTATCATACCTTTCATGTTTGGGCAAAAATGACATCTTTGGAAACACAGAGACAATGAACTAAATCTCTTCTTGATCTGATAAAACAGCATTACTGTTTCATATGATAAAACAGCATTACTGAAATGTATATTAAAGAAATTGTTTTAAGTGACCATAGGCAACAGCCACCTCTGGGCACTCAAAGGTATTCTCTTTAGTGAGGCTACTAAGAAACATTCCAGGTATGATTATTAAAAAAGATAAAAAACAGTACCACATAGAATCATCTGTTCTACCGCAAAGACTCTGCTAAGAATGGTAGATGTTTTTATGAAAGTCATTTGGATATGAATACAGCAATAATTTCATCCTTGAGAATTTGTTTTTTAATTTGTAGCTTGTAGTTTACAAATATAATTAAATGAAATGATAAATTATTTTAACTTATAAAATGGTACAAAATATTTTTAAGATTTATTTGAATCTCTAGTCTTTTTAATATTCTTATATGAGCATATCATACATAGAAAGAATTGCTCATATCTCAGGGCACAGTCTCCATGAATTGCAATAAAATGAACATACCCATTTAACAAGCACTCATAGAAATTAAAAAACAAAAAGATAAAAAGAGTACATGAAACCCCATCTCATATAGTTACTTTTCTAGTAACTATACCCACAGGGCATATGCACTATCTTGAATTCTAGAAGGATAGATTACCTTGCTTACTTAATCATGTTTTATAAATGTAAACATATGGTATGTACTGCTTTGCTTCTTTTGCTCTAAATTACATTTGTAAGATTATATTATATTGGTAAATCACCCATTCTCATTGCTGTGTAATATTAAGCTGTATCCAGATTATGGTCCTTTCCCCCATTTGTAAGCATTTGGATAGACTTCAGCTCTTATAAGTAATGATTATATGGACATTTGGAACATGTCTTTTAGGGAATCTGTGTATATATTTTATTGGATATATAGGATATGCATATGTTCTGCTTTAGTAGATACTGACATTTTACCAAAGTGGTTATATCATGTTTCAACAGTAGGATGTCAGTTCAGTTGCTCTGTATATTCAGTAATACTTGAGATTTTTCAGTCTTCTATTTTAGCTCATTTGATGTGCATAGAGGGATTTTTTAAAATTTGAATATCTTAAAGGTATTAAAAACTTTATAATTATTTGTCATATAATATATTCTTGTATAATTATAGTATCTATCCTTTTTTATTATATACCTATGAAAATTGAATCCTAAGTTGGATCCGTTCACTAATATACTGAAATGGATCAACTTGATTCATGAGACAAATGTTGTGTGAAGAATTTTGAAAGCTGCTTTTTAGTTTGAAAAGGTGCAATGGTAGAAACATTTACATCACATAAATTGCAAACATTTGAAAACTGGGTTTTAATTTTTTTCTTGGAAAGCTAGTTTTTAAACATTTACCCAGCATGACACTGGATACTTAAACACTATATTAAACCATTTGGTGGAATTTCTTATCTTGTGATAGTATCTTTTGATGGATAGAGTTCTTTTTTTTTTTTTTTTTGGTTCTTCATTTTAATTTATTCTAGTTTATTAAGTTTATATCTTATGTGATTAGGATTTTTATGTGCTATTTAAGAAATATTTACCTTAGCAGTGATCATTTAGATATTTCTCTATAGTTTCAAATTACCATTTGAATTTTCACATTTAATAATCTCAAGATATTAAAGATAATTCTTCTGTGGTATTATCTTGTATACTTAGTTAACTGGATAGCTTTTCATTAAGATAGTAAATGCTCTGTGTATCTGTTACCTTTTTAATGTAAAGTGCATATATAAACATGACAACACTGATATTTGTATTTAATAATTTGATGTAGCTATTTCTAAGCAATTTGTCATATTTTATAAAGTTAATATATGTATCTGTGCATTGTCCCCTATAAGTTTCAAATAATGTAATCAGATGGCTATTATTTTGAAATTAAGTATCTGGTACTCAGTCACTCAATCCTGTCTGAGTCTTTGTGGCCCCATGGAGTGTGCCAGCCAGGCTCCTCTGCCTGTGAAAGTATCCATGCAAGAATATTGGAGTAGGTTGTCATTTCCTCCTCCAGGGAATCTTCCCAATCCAGGGATGGAATCTGCTTCTCTTGCATCTCCTGCATTGTCAGGTAGATTCTTTACCACTACGCCCCCTGGGAAGCCCCCAAGTATCTAGCAGCATAACAAAATTAATATGTAACTTTAAACTTAACTGTAGACAATTTATTTCCATCATATATTACTGAATGAACCAAGTCTGAAAAATATTCTACAGAATGAGTAAAAAAAAAAAGAAAACCTTCAGAATATTAGGCTAATCTTTTTGCATTCAAATAAAATTATTGTCAACATATATTTTGTGGTATCCAAAACATTATATCATATAAATTGAATAAACATATAACTGTAGGAAAGGAAAGATATACTCAATCTGAATGCAGAGTTCCAAAGAATAACAAGGAGAGACAAGAAAGCCTTCCAAAGTAACTAATGTGAAGAACTAGAGGAAAACAATAGAATGGGAAGACANCAATCAAAAAACTGAAGATAATGGCATCTGGTCCCATCTCTTCATGGTAAATAGATGGGGAAACAATGGAAACAGTGACAGACTTTATTTTCTTGGCTCCAAAATCACTGCAGATGACGACTGCAGCCATGAAATTAAAAGATGCTTACTCCTTGAAAGAAAAGTTATGACCAACCTAGATAGCATATTAAAAAGCAGAGACATTATTTTGCCAACAAAGTTCCCTCAGGTCAAAGCTATGGTTTTTGCAGTAATCATGGTTGGATGTGAGAGTTGAGAAGAAGGCTGAGTTGAGAAGAAGTTGAGAAGAAGACATAAAGAAGGCTGAGTGCCAAATAATTGATGCTTTTGAACTATGGTGTTGGAGAAGACTCTTGAGAGTCCCTTGGGCAGCTGGAGATCAACCCAGTCGATCCCAAAGGAAATGAATCCTGAATATTCATTGGAAGGACTGATGCTGAAGCTCCAGTACATTGGCCACCTGACGAGAAGTGCCAACTCACTGGAAAAGACCATGATGCTGGTAAAGATTGAAGACAGGAGGAAAAGGGGATGACAGAGGATTGGACGGTTGGATGGCATCACCAAGCTCCAAGAGATGGTGATGGACAGAGAAGCCTGGCTTGCTTGCAGTCCATGGGGTTGCAAAGAGTCAGACAGCAACTGAGGAACACTGAACAGCAACCGTCATGATAAATATATTGTGAAGGATTAATTACAGAGTATGGCTGTATGAACATCATTAAAATAGTCAGAGATATAGATATAGATGGTATAGATAAATAAGTTTTCCCAGATGGCTCGGTGGTATAGAATCTGCCTGTCAGTGCAGAAGGCACAGGAGACGCAGGTTCCATCCCTGGGTCAGGAAGATTCCCTGAAGGAGGAAATGGCATTCCCCCATTATTCATTCCTGGAAAATCCCATGGACAGAGGAGCCTGGCCAGCTACAGTCCACAGGGCTGCAAAGAGTAGGACATGACTGAGAACAGATGCATAGATAGATAGATACCGATATAGACATATGATTTAAATTTTGATGGAATACAGTAGTGCACCACATACCTGATTTTTGCCTAACAGGAATGATAATATTAAAAACAGTATTATTTTTTTCTTAAAACTCTGAGAAAATTATATAAATGTCTATATGTTTGCCACAGATTGTATTGTCTTTTTATGCAGTTTTGTGAATTGAATGTGTTTTCTCCTCTTCAAGTAATGTTTTTGATTTAAATACATTCAATTTTCTCCATAGTAGTCGAAATATTTGAGAGATTTAATGAAACATAATGGAATTAAATATTTTTTTCAAACGGAAATTTCAATAGTTTCAATACACACATATCTAATAGACTTTCTTTTTTAATATCTGGGTTTTTATTGCAAGTCACTTCATATGACTTC